GAGAGAGAGAGAGAGAGAGAGAGAGAGAAAGAGAATGAGAGAGAGAGAGATAAATTGAGAACCTGAGAAAACAGAAATAAAGAAAACATTAGATAAGACGTTGAACTTGGAGGGGCGTGTGAAGGGTGGGGGCTGAGGCTGAGGAAGAGGGAAAAGATGAGGAAGGGGGGGGCACAAAAACCAACCAGACAGAGATGAATCCAAGCAGACAAACAGGATTGTGTGCTCGTGTGCATACGTCACTGGCTGGTTGTGTGCGTGACCCATGACCATCGATCTGATAGATCTGATAGATCTTTTGGGTATATCTCTGCAGGTAGGGTGGACGAGGATCTCAATAATGTATACGTAAGATTGGGTCAGCTAGGCGGCGGTCAGGGAGATTTCTGTGCAGTCGAATGAACAAACGGACGGACAAAAAGAGAGATCGATGAAACCGTGGAAAGTAGAATGAAAGATTGATTACATCAATGGGTGAAAGAAGGAGTAAATGATTGAATGAATGAGTGAATAGATGAAGGGAGTAATGAACAAACGTGAGGATTGAATTGGTTAAAAGGATTTATAGACAAAAGTGTGATTTTTTTTTTAAAAAGAAAAGCTATACCGGCACGCAGAAAAACGTAGTAGAAGTTAGGTAACCTGAGTCCTCCTACTGTGCCCGCCGTTTCGAAACTTCACGGTGACACTAAAGATGGTTCCAGTAGGGAACGGGATAGCGGGTGCCCACATCCCTCGTGACTCATCGGAGCGGAGGAAGATAGGACAAACGCTAACATTTTTAAAAACTCAATTAACAGAAGCATGTCTTCTCAATAATTATTTACATACACAATCTCACATTTTCACTTATCACCACCATCTGATCTAAAATCATCATTGCTCTCCGATCCTTGACATACATCTGTATATATTTATCTTAAATGTATTATATCTGTGACAGTTGCATGTTATAACAGTTATGTGCGTAATACACTAATAGACACTATCATACTCACAATTTTCTACTAATCAGATAGCGTCAATATCATAGAATTTGGCAAAGGACAAACAAAACAAAAAACTCCCCAAAAATTGAGTCCTCCTTTTTGGACTTATTTCCACTCTATGTGGGTCACCGTGGCGTCACCGCTAAATTTGCTTGTCAGTTAGGCTATTTGAAGAATAGTTTTGGAAATTAGACTTTTTTATTTTTTATTTTATTTTTTTTTGGGGGGGGGTGTGCTGTCGAAACCGACGTTTACCAATGAGAAACGAAACAATGATACATGTTATACTCAAACAAAGCAACGAATGAGCTAATGCACTTTAAAGAATAGAATATTCAACCTTTTTAAGGTAACACATGGGTAGAGAAAGAAAGAGAGGGGAGGGGGGGGTGAGGCATAGACTTTGTGTGGCTATGGCTGTGGTTGTGTGTGTATGTTTGCAAAGTGCGTATCTGTTATATTTGTGTGTGTGTGTAATATGCCTATTATGGTATCTATTTATGATCATGAAGATACCTTACTAGCTAGCTTGCCATTTAGCTATTACTCACACACACACACACACACACACACACACACACACACACAGAGAG